GCCCTTTAAGGTCTATGAAGTATCATAGTACTGATCGTATGCCAACATTATATTGATTATTTGTGCTTGTTGCAAGATTTCCATGAACACTTTGTCAGATTGAAAGGCGGAAAACTAAAACCTAGTTTGAAAATATTTTTGGGAATCAATGAATAAAGCATTCTGTAGAAAAATGCAAAAATTAATATTTTCAGTTCTGTTGCCATAACAACACGTATATGTATAGTTGGCTCCAGTACAGGTATGCTATCATGTTCTAAATCTTCAACCAATTTGAAGTCCAATGTTTTGAAGCCACAGATAAAATCATTTTCTCAATTTTTCACAACAATGGCTATAAGGTTATACTTTACCCACAATCCTTTGTTGGAGAATCAAGATGGTGGACGATTGGGAAATGAAAAGTGTTATAAAATAACTGTAAAATATATTTGTCGTATGTGGAAATTGTCATGGTCATTCGGCGAACAAACAAGGGGAAGCTGGGAAACGCGTTTTATATTTAGTCGGTTTCCATGAAGTAATACGGACGTTCTGTTGCACCAGGGAACTGACATGAGATCTCATTACAGCTCCCTGGTTGCACATACACATATTCGTTGGTCCTTAGATATGATATTGGGTTGAATAGGTTGTTTTTTAGAGGGACAAAACAGAAAATCCGTCAATAAATACCAATGAGGTTTTTAATACCCTCTCATAATGTGAATGTACACTGACCATTTTTTTATTATAATTATAAAGTATCTCTTTTAAAATTGGATGGAAAGTTGCACTCTACATTTCAGATCAAAGACAGACGTTGTCATGAAAGTACAGCTTCGGGTGAATTTCTAAAAATCCATCTGGGTGGTTCTAGAAATCCTGAGGTTCTGGCGGGTCTCTGACGTTCACTCGAACCGAGTCCTCAGTGTGGAGTGGCTATGAGTGGCTATGCACAGCTCGTGCATCTGTAAATTGTTGATTCGAATCTAGGCTGCTTAAAAATGTACCGTTTTTAAATATTGATAGGTATACTTGAGAATAACCTAGTTCTGATAAACAATCCCCCTCCTAGTGGTAAATATATATTGTTGAAAAAAAGCAAAAAACAACAACAACAGAACACGGGTACTAGTCTCAGTAAATGTAGAAAATGGCTACTGTTTGGAACCATGGAACTATATAGTTCCATGTTGGAACTAAGAAAAAGTACTTTCCGAGTAAACAGCGACGAGCCAAAAAAAAAGTAGTATTACAATCGTAAACACACTTTCACTCGTGCCATTACCAATACTGATACAGAGCTAGATTGGGATGTTTTCGTCAGACAATTCATAAGCCAGTCATACATTCCGGTTTGTGTCTCAGCTGCACCAATCTAATCGAAAGCGAGAGCCATCACAAGATTGATAGAAACTAACAGCTGTTCAAATCGCCAAACTACTGACAAAGGACAAGATGTGTGTAGTGAATATGTAAATTATGTCATGTCTTGCCTTGTCATGTGACCTACTGTAAAACATGTCTTTTTCGCGAGCATGTCTTTTTCGCGAATTTAGCGAGAGAACTGATTCGCTAATTCAAGATGTCGCTAATGACTTTATTATCAATTCAAAATGGCCGCCAAACAAAGAAATGAACAATAACAAGAGAGATTCGCTAAATCAACATTTCGCTATTCACACAACAACTAATGAGAACAGAGACCCTTATTTTTTTTTTACGAAATGGTGTTAAGGCAGCAACGTCCTTCAATCAGAAACTGTGCTGTATTTATTCATTTGCTCTTTGTATGGATATTCTGTATTTATATCATTTTAATGTCAGATAAGTTCATGGAACTCACATGCTGACATCGCGTGTTGCGCGTCATGTAGAAATCACTTTGCATAATGATACGAAATAATAAGAAACAGAGAAGTTCGTTTTAGTCATTCACGTGTTCTCTTTCGCTGAGAACGATTCAATGTCAGTTAATATAATATTAGGAACATGTATGGTTCAGTCTTAACTTAATTATAACCCCCTTTATACATCATCCAATCGACAGCATTACAGCTGTTCATTCACTGCAGTAATACAGGCATGCTACGGTGTTACAGGTCTTATTTCTCCGCATTGTAAAGCAACTGGACCAAATGTTTCAATGTTGTCGTTGAGTGTGTTTATTAGTATTTACGACATGCACTTAATTTCCAGTCTATCGTGGCCGTTTCTGTTTGTTATGCTGCCCTCAACGGTGTCCACACAAAAAAAGATGTATTTTATTGCAACCCACAAAATTCCCCCAGAGGAATTAAAATATTTACATAACAAATGGAAAAATAATAAAAATTAACATTCAAATCAAAACAGACGAGAAATTAAATAATTCAAAAATACTAGAACACACCTAATAATTTCGTATCTGTATGCAGTATCGGAGGAATTTGTAAGTTTATTGAAGGGGTTGCTGTCTGCTATACGTGCTATTTTTAATGCATTGGCCAAGTCGAGTATGGATGTTTTTTTTTACTACATTACACATTATTTTGAGTTGACAAGTCACTAAAAGTTGAATTATAGCTTCTTTGACTAATAATAGCGAAGAAAATGATGCAACAACTTTCAACAAATTTTCAACCTCATTCATATTACATAGCTTACATAATTTATTATCTACTTGTGTTTTTTTTGGCCGAGTACATCTCTCTGTTCCTATTTTAGTTAGTGATTGATCAAAATAAATCTAATAATGTTTTCTCCTAGTTCTTATTTTGGCGTTGTTAAAGCGGCACCTCCAGTTAAGCCTAATCTCACAACAAATTTACCTTCTGGATTAAAATTACAATGGATAACAAAAGATAGATTAACATTGTAAACAACATAAACAATGTGTCCCATGATTCTTTGGTGCAATCCCAGGGTTTTGAAGGTTTGAGTATTTTTCCTGGTCGAAATCATTTTTGACTTTCTTGTATGTTCTCAACTTATTTTCCGTGATAGGGTTGTTTCCTTCTGGGTCTGTGATTATATTCGTCAAGTAAATTACCTGTGTTTGGTTTATATCAATTAGTTGTGTAGTAAGTACTTTTTATGGTGGCCGTTTCTGTTATTAGTGAGTTAGATGCGTTCATTACAATAGTAATATTTCATTAATTGCTTTTTAATGACGATTTCTAGAGATGATTTCCTTATATTCCCATTATTGTTGTATTTGTTCTTACTCGTAGTATGAATCTGCAAAAAAAAAACAAAAAAAAAACTTAATTGTATATCTTCCACCTCAGATTTGTATGACGTTTCATGGCACCATCGCAGCTATATGTCAATACTGGACGAATTCATTTCTCAAAGACTGAAATCATTACATTCAACATTGTACTCAGAGACACAGTAGTAAAGCCGCAAGACACTGGAGCCGAATCTATTTTTTATGAAGTGAAGTTGTAAAACAGGAGTGTGGTTCTCGCTGCCGAGGAGTCAGTGTCAACTCGTGTTTTAAATTTATAGAGATTTATTTGTTAATGAGAAATTAGGTTGACCACTAAATCACGGTTACTAAAACCGTGACTAAAATAACAGACTGGCAATGGCTATTGTTATAGGTGTGAATTGGATTCAATCTGTAGTATGTGTGCAGCGGCAGGCTGGTTGTTTATTATTCTTTGTCTACGGTATTTATGAATACATAATGAGAAAATTCAGAGGAATACTTACTCGTTATTTTGACTTTTGCCAGCGTTCTTGAATTTCAAATGACGGCTTTGACTTTAGCAATGTTCGTATGTGTTAACATTCCGTAATTTTTGTGGATATTGCGTTTAATGTAGTATTGCGTAAATGTAGATGTATCTCTATGGCGAAACCATGGTTACTAGAAACACGGCTGCAATTGTTGTTTAGTAACCGTGCTAAGAAACTTCAGTAGAAAACTTTACTGAGCCTAAATTGTATTTACAGTGTCTCTGTTCTCGTTCCAGTCAACGAATTCACTCGAAAAAAGACCGTTTTTCTGGCACGGAAAAGACCTTTATGTTGTTATGTGAAATATCAACAGACGACGCCTTATTTACGTTATTGGTGCGTTAATTTGATCGCATCTCACCGAAGGAAATGCCGCGTTACTAGTATTTTCTTTTGGTGGTCTGAGAATTTCAGCGAAATAACGAAATTAATACTTAGTGATTAATTAATTTACAGTGCTGTTGTAGGCGACGAGGAGATATACTGAGCAACGTCGAACCCAGAAAACTGGGGAGTTCTGAATAGACCCGAGAATAACTCACAATTAAATGTGTTCCTAGACCATGTGACAGTGCATATATCTTGTGACGTGCCAAGCCTACTTAATACGAGTACTTAAAATAAAAAAGTGCCCTCGCTTTGAGAGGTTGTAACTTCGACAACAATAAATGGCAATTACAAACAATTACGCATTTCAGTGATACTGAATACAAACTTCGGTAAAACTAAGTTTAAAGCATGGGTAATAGTCCGTGGTCATGTGGTAGTCTTACTGCTACAGTCAAGAAAAAATTGACATATAGTATAGTGGTTGTATTGAACGCCCGGCAGTGGAACAATGTACAGTGAACACAACATTAATAGTACAATGAATAACAACAACAACAACAACAACAACAACAATGAATGCGTAACCAATATTTATTTAAAAAAAGATTAAATAACAGTGAGTTTATATTTTAGAGAATTGTTCAGTGGCTACAATGACAGTGCATTCACATTGTGACAGGAGTATTATGTTTAACGCGTGTTTTACGCGAAATACGATATAAAAAAAATTTTTCAAGTGATATCATTTCATAAAAAGACGTGGTATGTAGCTTATGTGTAGGTCAAATACTATGATTTACTGACATAAGCCCGGGCATGGTGATATGTAATTGATATGCAAGTTACTAGCAAAAGAATTCAATAATATTACCCTTACTGTTAACGTCATGATTTACCGATGATGACGTCTGTCCATGTGCCGTCGTGACAGGCGATGGCTTATAGTATGCCCACTGATTCCTAACTCAATGGCCAAACAACGTTGGCGCGCCCCCACTCCATGAAACATGATGCACGCTATTATATTATTCCGTAAACTAATTCCAAATAAATAGACTAGTGGGGGCGTTCACTTCCGTTCTCCGAAATAAAGCTGTATTCAATTATTATTTCCTCAACGTCACTATTTATTGTTTTTTCCGCATCATTTCCTAGTATTACGTGTTTGATCATTTAATACGGCCCGAACAATCGTT